AAAAAAGAGAAAGCTCCCTTTCATGCTTTCAACTGGCTGCTCAGTCGTGGACAAGATCAACAAAAAAAAGTGCATCACAACTCCCTCAGCGGGGAAATCAGATGGACGAATCTTCAACGGGATAACAGCCAGGTGCAAGTCATTCAAATTCTCAACAAAGGAAGAACGAAAAAGCAAGCTCATTTGAGTCAAGATCATCCAGTCACACAGCTGCTATTTTTCGGTTTCCCTCGTCTGTTTCAAGCTTGCGTTTCTTGATCCCCGTCTCTTGAAAGTTCACCCTGCTATAACCAACCAACCAACCGACCAACTGGCCTATCTCAGTCGGTACACCACTGAACTGTTGAAATACAGACCAGGTCCTGAGTTCAAACTCCACTGGAACCAGACGACTAAAGTACTGAAATTACCTAGGGCCGGCCGGGTCATATCATGAGATCTCAGGGCCGCAGCTGCTTAAGGCGCACAAATTTCTAATTGAAATGAAAAATCAGACTAATAGTAAGAATAATTCCGAAAGTTGCCAAAAAAGAAGAGCCCAGAAATTGAATTTACCGAGGCGAGCCATCCACCGAGGCCCGTCAAGGATAGTGTCATAATCGAAGAAGCAGGAGAGAAAACATAGTGTACAGCACCAAACGAATAGGAACGGTCTGAACCTCGAGGTGGTCATTTGGCAGGAATGCGGTTTGGACCGGATAGAGGAACTGGAACCGGATTTGGAGCAGGGATGCATGATGGAGTCCATAATCGTAAAAACGAAAGGGGCTCTCAGAGACAAGTTCATTTACGTAAGCTTTTGCGTCACATGTGAGACACCTCACCGTGCTGGTTCTCCAAAACCGAGGTCACACCTTTGTCAAACTCCATAGGATACCTGCTATCCTCAACCAGCTTTTTCGTGCGTTTGAGATCGTTGTCTTTCTCACCTCCCAACAATTGAGGGCACAGGTTTACGTAAGAATGATCTGTGAAATAGATTCTCCAACCTGTCCAGCACTCTTGATCTAGACCGAACTCTTCAAATTCCTCGAAAACATCAGCCAGTGGGCGAAAGATTGGTGTATCCTTCTCCCACTCCTCCTCAGGCCTCTTCTCATGATCAAACTCGATGTAGTGGAACAGCGGAAGCATCATGCGGTCACACTTTTCAATAAAAACAGCTTCCGTAATCCCCAAAAGCTTCCTCTCTCTCTTCACTGCCTCACTGGTGCTCTGAACCCAGACGACCTCCAAGGACAGAACTTTCCGTAGAACACTAGCTTTTTCGTCGTCCGTGAGGCCGCCCATTTGCCTCCAGCAGCTTACAGCGGGGTTCCCTACAGCCTTCTTGTCCATAGGGGGGTCCCCATCTGGGAAAACGGACCCCTTCTTCTTTTTGTTGTGCATGACGCCATCAGTGGCAAGCAGACGCCCGCTCTCCCAACGTTCATAAAAGTGCATGGCTAGCCTCCACACTTCATCAGACGAGGTAGCCAGAGCGAGCCATGGTCGTAGACGTTCTGTCCACTTGGGCACTATTTCCTTGTCCTCATTCTTGGCCAGCTCCCAGTTATCTTCAATCGGTGTCTTCATTAGCGCTGACCTTTGGAATTCGCGATACCGATCTACCAGATGTCTCTTTCCGGAAGGGTTACCCATTACGGCCCGGGGCTGGCCAGCCTCAATCCATGCTGCCCGAATGCTTATCATTGCCAGCTTCTGCGAGCAGGGTAGCGCCTTCCTGGAATCTCCCATAAGGGACATCTGCACATCTCCCACAACAGACAGCTTTAGTTGGAGATCCACTAGGATTTCAAGCACTGGCTCAGGGCCACAAGACGCCAGTCCATGAATGTAGAACAGGGCTGGCTGACATCCGCTCTTCTGAGCTCGAGAACAAAAGAACAGAAGTGAGTGGGTGGCCATTCCGTAACACACAAATTTATTCGACCCCAAAAGCCCCCCTGTCACCTGTGACGGAGGCCATTTTTTTCAACCCCTCTTTCCAGTCCCTCATGTAAAAACCGGAGTTTCTTTCATTTTTTTGTGCCATCCCAACTGGGGGGGGGGGGGGAGGGGGGCGGCCCCCAGTACGAGCATGTGACCGCCCTCAGGCTCAGTGAGAACAGCAGGACTAGAAGGGGTCCCTGTGGGACGATCGGTTCAGCACACAATGTCATGCAGTCCTCATGCCTGCTTGATGAAGCCACGACAGCGGCCCTCACCAAGTCTGGATGCGGGCGGACTTCAATCTATTGGTGGGTTCTCCGTCCTTTGAATCGAATAGCGGGCTCACCAAGTTCGGATACATCCGGACTTTCCAATGTATTGGTGGGTTCACCTTCCTTTGAATCGCATAGCGGGTCCACACTTGTTGTACACTATTCGATTCAATTGCGAGTTAATTCCGAATCGATATTGAGTTCACTAGAGGGCCTCGGTTTCACCCCCTGTTGAAGATTAAGCTGCGAATTAACTCGCTGTTGAATTCAGCTGCGGATGAATCCGCTACAGAGATCAATGGCGGGTGCAGCGGCTACAGAACTGCCTCAATAGCGGGTTCGGCCTCTCTGTTGAAGATTCAACTGCGAGTTAATTCGCACATGAATACGAAGCAATCGCGGGTAGAGAAAGACAATGCAATCGTGGGTAGTGGAAGACTGTGCACAGGCCCGCACAAATGCGGAGGCCGCCATTTTTTTTATTATTCGACGGCGCCTCCGAGTTTTGCTTGTGGCAACAAAAACTTTCTGCAAGGCTGGGGCCGTCGACTAGCGGTTCAAAGGCAGCATAGAGAGCGAACTTTCTCGGGAGACAGAATCGTCTGTAGTGTAAGAATTACTCGTTGGCTCTGCACCAGACACATGATAGGGACCTGATACATGATCGGTTGACTTCGCCAACGCCAGCTAACAGATTCCGTGGGACTCGAGGCAACGCCAATTTCGAATTTCGGTCCCTTACGATGGACCTGGCAGGGTGGAGGGGGAGGGGGAGGGGGAGGGGGGGGGGGGGGGGGGGGGGGGGGGGAGGGCCAGGGGGAGGCGAGATCTATGCATCCCCTCCGTCCCTCCTGGCAGGAGTGTTCTGCCTCAGGGGAAAGAGGGTCAGCGGACTTGAATGAGGCGTCGGGCGAAGGGAGGGGAGGGGAGGGGAGGGGAAAGGGGGGGATGGGAGGGGATGGGAGGGAATGGGAGGGGTGGGGAGAGGAAGGGAGCTTTGTCAGAGCGGGCAGAACTATTGCAGAACTCTCTGTGAGGTCGAAAGAGACCATCAAATCATGAATGGGAGAACTAGTCTTTCTTTGAACTCACGACTGTATTTAACCGCAAAGATGGGTTGCATACATTACTGAGTGGGTGCGTCGTGTTCGGGGGAAGAGGGTAGCAGCCAGCTGCGTCTTGGCGGGAATGGGTTTCAACTTTTAATTACAAAAAAAAACGTTTGTTTTATTCCTTAAAAACGGAGATAAGATTCACGAATCTCCTCAAATCTAATCCCTGTCGGATTGGATATGACGTCAGCCCTCGCTCCACTAGATATCATTCATTCGATATGTATCTGGACCCGGTATAGTCCCTGTACATTCTTCATGTTCGATCGACGAGAACGTACCTGGTCCAAATCTTATCCAATGCTGGAGATTGGAGCGAGCCCCATCATCATCAGGAGATTTCCAAATAATCTAACATTGTAAGAAAAAAAATGGACGAGAGTTCTTTGAAGTTTCGTCGAATATTCCTGCTTCCAACAGACTTACACAGAAAAAAAGGATGCAACAACGAAGCCAGAAACAAAACTGTCACCCTTAGAAAAACGGAGGATTAAAAAAATAATAAAAGATTCAGGTACAGCTCTTTCAAGATCTCAGCTACTGTAGCGGACCCACCAGGTGTGGTGCTCCGCTAGTGACAGAGATGGAGATGGAGGAAGAAGGGGGGGAGCAAGATGGCACAACGCAGCTCCCCACGCAAGACTCCAACGCACGTACTCCAAAATGTGCAAGTAAGGAATGAGAATGAAAACAGACAAGGGCTGGGCTATACCCCAGTGGACTGACGGGACTGGACTGGACTGGCTGGTACCGACAGAGGTACCGGCCTGGACTGGCCTACCCCAAATATAACACAGGCCTGTGAGAACAGGCCAAGGGGCTGGTCTCACAAGCCATCCCGAGGTCCGCTAYACGATCCTCGACCTGTGATGGATCGCCTAGATACAAACATGCTTCCGCCAAGAAGCGGAACTCTACCAAAGAAAAGAAAACCTGAGTAGTCTAGGATGCGGAGCAAGCTCCATGCTGCGTCCATGCAATGCAACCTAGGATATAAAATGTCACAAAACACCAATGTCACAGCTAACAGCCTAAGTGAAAGTAGGAGCAACTAACTAACATACATGTCCTAGGAAAGCAAAAAGTAGTGACAACTAGATCCTAGAATGTTGGAGGCACTAGCCTCAGTCTGGTAACAACTGACTAGTGTATAAGTCCTAAGAACAGCAAAAGCATAACAACTAAATCCTAGAATGTCGGAGGCAGTAGCCTCAGTCTGAGAGCAACAAAGCAATCAACAAGACAACCATATGTCACATGAGAAGTGTGTCGCACACCAAAGGGTGGAATGGTCTCTGAGGGTGGCGAATGCAGCCTAGGGGTTGAAAACTCCTAAGGGCATCCACACATAGTGACAGGGGAAAACACATGTCATGAGGCTCAATGAGGGTAGGGAACTGGGAGCGAAGAGAACCAATGACCCTAACAGCTAGACCATCAGGGCGGGTAATGCTCGGCTAAGGGGTGACCGCTGTGGAGGGTCCACCATGCAAGGGAACAAGGGAGCCTGGTATACTGGGCGCACCTAGATGAAGCATGCGGGGCTGCCTAACTAGGGCGTGAGGGCCGGCGAAGGGTAGAAAGATGATGGGTAAGGGAATCATGCAAATGACTCCTAAAGTGAGGGAAGTCGGAGCTAGATCCGTAAGATGGGAAGCCAGGACAACGCTACGGTCCCGATGCCTATGCATATACCAAGGGAGAGCCCAACTCAGAGGAACCCGGCTAAAGGGAGACCATCATGCGACACAAGCAGGGTACTGTACAGGGTAGAGTGCTAAGAAAGTGGCGACGTCTGAAGTAGGCAGAGCTGATCGTGATGAAGTCCATGAAGCCGCCGATGACGTCCACGATGAGAAGTCGGGAATGCCGTCGAGGAAGAGCCGCAGCGTCGACGAGCTGAAGTAGTAAAACTGGTGTGGATGGAGTACTGAGAAGTCAAAGACGTGGGAAGGTAAGTCAGAGTCAATCGTCGTATCGAGCAGGACGACGACGAGTGCGCTGTGGACGCTTAGAAGCATCCGGCTGCTGCTGAAGGTCTGCCTCAGATGGAGCAGGCTCAACTTCAGCGGTCTCCTCAGCCGGAGGAGAAGGAGGAGGGTCAGTGGGCTGAGGAGGAGCAGTGAACCCAGCACGACGAGCACGGTCATAGGC